TCAAATAGAGGCAAAGAGCAAGGGCAATGTGGCTGTAAGCTGGTGATAGTAGTACAGCTTTCTTTCACAAAGTAGCCAATGCTAGAAAAAGAGTCAACTCAATAGATCATTTGGAGTTGGGGAGAGGACTGTGTTTCATGAGAAGGACATTGCTGAAGCCTTTGAAAGCTACTTTGAAAAGCTCTTCAATGACCCTTGTAGGATTAGACCAAAGCTGAATGGTCTACAGTTCGGGCTACTCTCAGATSAGCAGGCTTTGGAGTTAGAAAAACCCTTCTCAGAAGAAGAGGTAAAGGAGGCCATTAACAGCTTGGAAGGGGAAAAGGCTCCAGGGCCAGATGGGTTTTCTATTGTCTTCTTTAAGAAGTTTTGGAATTTAATTAAAGCAGCTATGCTAAAGGTATTAGAAGGTTTTCATGAGTCAGCTGCTCTGGAGAGAAGTTTAAATGCCACTTTCTTATCTCTAATACCTAAGAAAACAGGAGCTAAAGAGTTGAAAGATTTCAGGCCAATAAGTCTAATTGGTAGTATGCACAAAATACTAGCCAAAGTTCTGGCAACTAAACTAAGAGGAGTAATGGACTCTTTGGTTTCTAGCTTCTAAGGCGCCTTTGTCCACAACAAACAAATCCATGATGGAGTTCTTATAGCCAATGAGTTAATTGACTCAAGGAAGAGAAGTGGAAAAGCAGGGCTGGTTTGCAAATTAGACTTAGAAAAAGCCTATGATCATGTAAACTGGGCTATTTTAGACTATATGATGGAAAGAATGCACTTTGGACCAAAGTGGAGAAATTGGATAAAAGTCTGTGTTTCTACTCCAAGGTTCGCAATCTTGCTAAATGGGTCAGCAAAAGGAAATTTCAAAWGCTCAAGAGGGCTGAGACAAGGAGACCCTCTATCTCCATTGCTCTCCCTCAGTGATGGAAGGTCTTAGCAAGTTGGTAGACAGGGCCTCAGAACTGAATCTTCTAGAGGGTTTTGAAGTAAGTCCTAATGGAACAAAAATCCCCATCCTACAATATGCAGATGACACTCCTTTTCTGCAGTACTTCGGAGGACAAAATACTTAATCTGAACTATCTACTATTTTGGTTTGAGATAATATTTCAGGACTGAAGGTAAACCTAGCTAAGAGTGAACTATTAGCTGTGGGAGAGGTGCCTAACATTCAAAATTTGGCTGATATATTGGGGTGTAAAGTGGTAGTCTGCCTACAACTTATTTAGGTCCACCCCTTGGAGCCAAATGTATCTCCAAAGCAATTTGGACTCCAGTCCTCGAAAGGATGGACCAAAAATTGGCTTCTTGGAAGGCAAGGTATCTCTCTAAAGGTGGTAAGGTCACACTCATCAAAAGTGTGTTAGCCAGCCTTCCAACCTACTTTATGAGCCTATTCTCCATTCCCTCAGAGGTAGCAAAGGAAATGGAAAAAAAGATGAAAAATTTTCTTTGGAAAGGCTGGAAAGATTCTCTCAAGTATCACTTAGTGAGCTGGGAGAAAATCTGCAAACCCCAATCATGAGGCGGGCTTGGACTAAGAAGCCTTAAGCTTTTCAACCTTGCCCTATTGGGAAGTTGGCTGTGGGGATTTTCATCAGAACCAAACAAACTCTGGAGGAAGGTGATTGAGGAGAAATATGGCTTAAGAAACAATGGAGATGCTGGTATTCCCTCTGGCACCTATGGTTGTGGGGTGTGGAAAGGAATTTGTATGGCTTACTGGCAGTTCAGCAGTGGTTAAATTTAAAGTGGGAGATGGAAGAAAAACCAGGTTCTGGTTAGACCAGTGGGCTGGTGACAACACCCTAAAAGAAGTGTTCCCAGCCCATACAATGTGGTTGTAGATAAGGAAGCCTTAGTGGCCGGTTCTCTGTGTCTCCAGGAAGGAAGGCTATGCTGGGTTCCTCTCTTTAGAAGTTTTAACAACTGGGAAATTCAGCAGATGGCAGATTTTCTTAATCTGTTACAAGACCAACAGCTAAGTTTTCAGGAGCAAGACTCAACAGTCTGGAAATGGTCAAAATCTGGAGAATTSACAGTCAAATCCTTCTACAATTCTGGTGGGAAGGCCTGAAGCCCCCTTTCCCAGCAAGGCCACTTGGGGGAACTTGGCTCGTCCAAAAATCAAGTTTTTTGTTTGGGTGGCTGCGCTGGAGAGGTGTCTATCCAAAGAAACGCTGCTGAATAAAGGTCTTAATCTTCCAGATTGGAGGTGCTGTTTTTGCAATATGCAAGTGGAATCCTCTGGGCATCTCTTCCTTCATTGCAAGTTTAGTTCTGCAGTATGGTCACACTTGTGCAAATCCCTAAATCTAAGCTGGTGCATGCCAGCCTCAGTTAGAGCTCTGCGAGAGGAGTGGCATATTCAGGGGTTGTTGAAGAAAGGGAAGTTATGCTGGGCTTCCATCCCTCCGGCAGTTATGTGGGCTGTGTGGTCAGAAAGGAACAACAGGACTTTTGAGGAAAAATCTACTACTGAAGCTGAGGTCATTAACTTGGCAATAGAGGTTTTGCGAAGTTGGATGTCTATACATAATTATTTTAGGGATAGTATATCTGATCATACTTTTTTGAGGATGGCCTTTTTTTGAGGTCCTTCATTTTGTACAGCTCTTTGTACACAAGACCGTATATTAATACAATTATACTTTACCTTCTTTCAAAAAAAAGAAAGAAATAAAGAAAGATTTCTAAAGTCTTCAGCCAAAGTATTGCCCTATGCAACACACAGTCTTTCAATTCCTGACTGCTCCTTTCCTTTTCCTGAAAAATTCTAGCATTCCTTTCTTCCCAAATAGTCCAAATCAGGGCAGCGCGAGCACATCTCTACATAAGTCTCCCTCTGTTTGTAGGCCAAGAGAAAGTAGAATGGTCAAAGATCATGCAAACTTCTGTTGGTAAGCTCCAACTACTCCCAAACAACTAAAGTAGCCAAGCCCAAAGGTTTGCAGAAAATGGGCAAGATATTAGTAGATGGTAACAATCCTCCTCATGAACTCTGCAAAGGATACACCAGTTGGGAGAAATTCAGGGCAAAGGTCTTCTCTTTTGTAAGTTATCTAGAGTATTTACTTTCCCATAGAATACTTCCCAACAAAGCGCCATAATCTTTGGGGGAACTGGCCTACACCAAATTTCCTTTGACGGAAAAGGTTGTTGAGCAGAAGGCAGAGAGGGACTTGAAATAAGAAGTACAAGTAAAGGTCCCTTTGGGTCTAGGAGCTCACACCCTTTTATTTGGCTTGTATTGGTTGTTGAGCAGAAGACTGTGTTGATCTTGTATTGGTTGATACAATACGATATTGTGAGCATATCGGCCGATATGTTTAGATTTTTTATACATTTTTGTATTCTCTTAAATTCAAATTCAAATCCTAGACATATTCCCTAATTAACTCTTATTAACTTCTATGTTTAGATTCATTAACTTCTATTTTGGAATTATTGAATGGTGAGACTGCCTAGGACCTCTTAATCTCCTATCCCTTTATTTGTTGTATTTGGGAATGGTTTCTTTCTCTTTTTGGATGTGTAGGTGGAACCCCCCTGTTGACTTGGACAAATTGTTTTGACACGTCTATGATGAGATGCTCAACAAGAAGGGGTAGAATCATGTAGAAATGCAAAAGGACAGCGATGATTTTGACAATTTGGGAAGAAGGGGATGCAAGAACTTTCGAGCAGAAAGAGAGTATGGAAGCACTAATTGAAATCATTATTTCAAGAGTGGCACATTGAGTGAAGACTTTGGAATTATTCTCAGATCACACTGTAGATGAATTTATTAGAAATTAGGGAGCAGTAACAGGGTCTTCTTCTAAAAAACAAAAAAACAAAAGAGGATTGGACACCTCCAAATAGAGGGTGGTTGAAGCTAAACTTCGAAGGCGGCATTATGGGTAATCAGGGCCTTCTGGATTTCTTTTTTTTTTTTTTTTATGGGGGGAGGGAGGGGTTAAGGGATGAGAAGGATGTAATTTAGAGAGGGGTTCAATGAATTAGTGGGTAAAGGGTACTGCTGATATCCTTGTTTATTGAATGTTTTGCACAAATTAATAAAATGTTGATAAGTTACCAATAAAAAACGAAGATATCAAATAACCTGCTTTGAGGGACACATACCAACCACCTTTTTTGAACTGCTGCTGTCACCACAATCTGAGAAGCACATCAAGACACAATTAACGGACTCTTTATACCTCCATCACATCAGGTAGGCCACCAAAAGAATGAGATTTCTTGGTCACACAACCAGGAAAAAAAAGTAAAAAAGGAGGGTTTCTTTATTGTCCAATCAGTTATTTAGAGATAAATCTGCTCCCAACAGCTTCAGTCAAAAGTAAGGAAAAAAGGAAGAGAAGATAAAAGGTTAGAGCTCAATCAGATCTATGACAGATAATGCTCTGATATCCTGTTATCTGCCATAAAAGAAGGGGGAAAGAAGAGAAGAGATGAGGAAAGAAGAATTTAGGCAAAAGTGAGTTTGGTGGCACTGACTCGAATGTTGAATAAAGAGTGTTTAAAACATAACAGTAAAGTACAAGAATGCTCTTGCACCACATACAGAGAAAGTACACCCCTACAACAAAACTTTTCCATGAGTTTTATTAAAGCTTGGTGTTTTCGTTTTGGCCTCTGGTTGGGAAATTAGTAGTGGATTGGGTTTCGGTGCTACCGGATTTTGATCAAATCAGTAGATTAGATATGAGGGAGAACTTCTGGAATGTTCTTGAAATTCAGTTGTAATTTGTCTTTAATTTAGAGCTGATTAGTTTTGTATAGTGAGGTGCCATCTTGTCACCTATCAGATTGTAACTCTCTCTCTCTGTTTTTTTTTTTTTTTTTATTTGATTAATGAATTTGCACTTTACTCTTCAAAAAAAAGTTTGGTATTTTGGTTTTGTTAGAATCTAGTATTTTACGCTTGAAAATGTAATAGATGTACTATCATTTTTTTTCTTATTCTTGTACTTGCATTGTTCCTTTCGTGACTGCAGGTCGGATTCCAAATACAAAGAGGCTGAACCTGGAATGTGTAGGTGTTGAGCTTGATGCCACTGGAGCTGTGAAGGTCATTATATTTTTCATCCATTTCACTCTTGCATATGTGTTTTTATCTGAGACACCATTGTCAAAATATTAAGGCAGACCTGGTTTAGCTGTTTACCCAGGTGATTGCTCAATGAACACTTGTACGACTGTTTTTACCAACAGTGGTCTATCATTTGACTTAGAAAAAGACTAGGGTAGAAAGTGTTGAATTTCTTTGCATATCTGTTTCTTCATTATGATGGGATACCATTGTGGAAAATTAATAATGATATTTGTATATTTTTTCCAGGTAGATGAGTACTCCCGAACCAATGTCCCTAGCATATGGGCTGTTGGTGATGTTACTAACCGAATGAATCTTACTCCTGTGGCTTTAATGGAGGCAACTTGCTTTTCGGTGTGTGGATATCTGGAGCTTCATTAATGATTTGAGTTTACCATGATATTTCTTGGTTGCTTATTCTTTGATTAGGGTAGAAGAGTATTCAATTTTTTGTTGAACTAAGTTTTTTCTTTTGCATTGTCTGCAGAAAACTGTTTTTGCCGATCAACCTAGTAAACCTGACTACAACAGTGTACCTTGTGCTGTGTTCTGGTAAAAAGATTCTCTCTTTTASAACATGTGTTGTATGCATATTAGCATATGAAAATCATGTTATTACTTTCAGCATAAATTTAACAATGTTACTAATTTCAACATAAATTTCACTGAGGTTGATCCATTTTCTATAGAGAATGCTCTGAGTAGAAATGCATGAAGATAGCATCCTCTTGGCCTATTCCTTGCTTCTGCCACCTTTAAAGCTGATCTGGAGTATGAATTGTTCATTTGGACTATTTTTATAATTTTATCTAAATGCATATGGGAATAGCAATACTTTGCATTTCGTCAGGTTGGATTAAAGTCCTCTGGGGACAACTAAATGCAGATAAGAAACCATTAAAATTCTTTGGGGGCAACTATGTGTTCAACTAGAAATATATGGATTACCAGTTGTTGACGGGCCATGATCTCTGGGTTCTCAACTTTCAACAGGTTAACTTAAAAATCCTGAGACTCAGGCTGAAATAAGCAAGAAATCACTAGAACTTTCAAGAAATTTATGCTGTCCATGATGTCGCCATATGGTTGGAGCACATGCAGGTGTCTTCAGAAACTCTTGGAGTTTTCAGTGTTTTGCTTTAGTACTTTGAAATTTGAACTTGTTAGAGACTGAAACATCTGTTGTAGGATTAACACCGACAAATTAACCCAATAATCCAGAGCCATGTCTGACCTGGGCATATTCTTAGAAAGGCAATCAATGGTTCCCTCTTTGACAATTTAGATCCCATCTCTCATTTTCCCCGAGACTGAAACAAGTGCTGACATTTGATCAACTTTGGTAGGGAATTAAGACCACAAATTTCTCTAATATGCAAGATATTTTCACCTTCAGTTACAAGATAGACAGGAAAACAATGGAAAAAACCACCAGCCTCTGTCTTCACAGTTACTGGATACCTGTTAGGGTGTTATTCAATTCAAGATTCTAGCTGCAGCAAATTTCTTCCAGATAAGAGATATCAGTCTCAACAAAATATTTCCGCACTTTACCGTTTGAGCAATAAGGAGAATAATTGGGTTTAGAGATGAATTATCTCAACAAATAAACTATTCCACATTTGTCTTTTTACATCTGAAAACCCAATTGTACCCTTCATAACTCATGCATCACAACAAGGCATATTCTTCACATTGCTGACTGAACTGATGCAACAGTTTTGTCGGTTGTCCTTTGTTCTCAGAAGGACTTTACCAGGAGATAACCGTTGATTCTTTTTTTTTTTGAAAGGTAAGATATAATTGTTTTATAATAGAGGGAGAGTTTCCCTCAAAACATGTAAGTGTGTAGAATCTGCGCATGACATATCAACAAAATACACAAAAGACATCTGATCAGCCTACTGCATTGGCAGAGGCAGGCTGGACCTTGAAGGTTTTGTCAATTATAATTTGACTCCAGTTTTAGTTCTGGAACTCCTTGGGTTGTTTTGTCCAAAAGGAGACAACCTTCAATCTATTAAGTGTTTTGAGCCTTGGCCTATTTCCCCAGAAAGTTGTTTCAAATTATGTGGAACTGTCTAGAATTTTTGGGAATTTTGGAGATAACCTTCAACTTATGTCATTTTTTTAACCTTGGCTTATTTCCTCGTACTCAGAAAGTTGTTTCACGTTATGTGGAACTATCTAGAATTTTTAGGAATTTTCTCCTCCATGTTTACTACCCTACTAGTTTTAGGCTTGCCTCAAGGGGCTTGGTACAAAGGCAGCTAGTAGAATCAAGAATGCAAGATGCTTTACATCACATTAGCTATTTGAAGTAATGCAATCGAGGAAAAAAAGGAATTGTGGGTTTTACATATGCTTGAAAATGTTTTATATGTTTGATTTTATTTTTAAATTTTCATTTGAATGCACTTTACATGTTATATTTATGTATTTTAATTTTAGATAATAGTTTTTTTAATATTTATTTTAAAATTTAAGTTTATATTTTTATTAATATTATGTTTAATAGTTTTTAATTATTTGCATTCGTTTGAATTTTTTTGGAATTTCTTTCTATTTTTGCACCTTGCTTTGAAAAGGAGTGTGCCTTGCATTGTGCCTCGAGCGCAAATTGCCTCTTGTGCTTTTTCTGCACCTTAGCTTTTAAAACACTGCTTGAACCTCCTTGGCTTACCACAATCCTTGCTACTCGATTACTAGTCCTTTGTGGATGTAGGCTACCGAGTCGGACCAAGCGCACCTATTGATAAGTATACATTATGTATAGAATACATACGTTTAAATAAACGTGGGCCGGGCCGCGCTTGAAGTAGTAGATCCAAGCCCAGCCGTGAAATATGCAAGCCTAATCTAGGCCAATGTTTTGAAACGTGGAGGCGTGACGCGAGGTGTTCCACTACCTAGAGGCATGAGGCGTAGTTCAGAACGTAAGAGGCGTAAGCCTCCCGAACATAAGGAGGTGTAAGCCTCCTTAAGAGGATGGGGATGAGGAGGAAGGAAGGAGGAAGAAGAGGAAGGGAGATCTCATTTAAGATTATTTAAAAAAAAATCTTTTATATTAAAAATAATGAAGATGCATAGCACTTTCCTTCTCCTTATCTTTCTTCCCTTTTCTTTTCTTTCTTTTTCTCTGTTTTCTTCTCTTTCCTTTTCTTTTCCTTTCCTTTCCTTTTTTTTTTCTTTTTTTTTCCCAATCTTTTTATATGAAACATGCAAGAGGCGTACGCCTCATGAAAAAGGTGTATGAGGCGTACGCCTTAGAGGTATCAGCGCCTCTGGCATATGCCTCGGGGCATTTTGGGGGGCGCCTTGCCTGGATCACGCCTTTTAAAACGCTGATCTAGGCCTAGCCCAGGCTGCTCTCAACACAAAACCTAGAACCAATCCCAGAATTTCCGAGCCAAGCTGAAAGGATCACCCTCGGTGATTGTTCACTTGGATCCTTTTTTTTTGGTGATGTGTACACTTGGACTTGAAGCTACTAAATTTATTTCTTCAATCAGTGCAAATTGCAAATTTTTATTGAAACCATTTTGCTCACTTAGGATCTGTTCATTTGCATTGAAGTTTGACATATAAATGCCTTTGAAATTATAATAATTACTTTTAGAGGTGTGTTGGAGTTTGTGAATTTTTCTTGGTTCTGAAGTTTGAATGTAAAGAATGTTATTCTGAAATCTGAATGCTAAGTTCTAAACAATGACAATTGACCATTTTAACCCTGGATATGAGATAGTTTGTTTAACTATTTAACAAACTAATTAACAATTAATTAAATGAATATATAACTAATAAATAGTGGAATTGATAAAAWTTATAAATTACTAAAAACTTTTAAAGAATTGAATATCTATTAATTAATTAATAAGTGCTTAAGATAAATAATTACATAATTATTAATTAAATATTTAAGTTAATTTTTAATAATAATTTTTAATTATTATTAATGAATAATTAAAATCATTATTAATAATTTATAGTTATGTATTAGTTAATTAATTAAAATAATCAATTATTAAATACTTGAGTAAATAATAAAATAAGATTTACTAGATAATAAAATAATTAAATAGGTAATTAAATAATACATAGATAATTAATAAAATAATTAATTAATTTTAACTATTTAAATAATAATTTCTAAAAACCATATTTTTATTATTGTTATCATTATCATTATTATTATTGTATAGGATCATCATAGCCTACTTAAAAAAAGTAACCTTTTGGGGGCATTTTTTGAAAAACTGAGCATTAATGTTACTATACATGATGTGCTGTACATTAAGGCTGAAGGTAAAATGGGAACCAAACGCTCTTAATGTCTCTTAAAGGTATTAAGAAATAAGAGATAAGAGGCATTAAGCGCAAGCAAACAGACCCCTACTTGAAGTAGCAAATTTGTGACTGTAAAAGTATTTCTTTTCTTCATTTTCATATTTTAGAAAATCCGTTGATGAAATGAATTTTATATTATTTGGCAGTATACCTCCTCTTTCAGTAGTGGGCCTCAGTGAACAGCAGGCTATAAAGCAAGCAAAGGGTGATATTCTGGTTTTTACATCAACATTTAATCCAATGAAGAATACTATCTCTGGGTAAGTGCAAGCATTTGAAAATATTTTCTTGTTTTTTCTAAATAATGAGCCTATGGGAAATGGACTCCTATTATGACTCAAATTAAAAATGAATCTAAATTGAGATGCAAAGGGAAGGATTGATGAGATATGAAAATTTCATTTTAATTTTTCTTAGTTTGAACATTTCTTTCAACTAACCCAATTTATGTATTGTGAGTAGAAAAAGTTTGGATGACCTATTTTGATATAAAAATTGTAAAAGAAAGAAGAAAAGGTTTCAGCTGAGAAAGGAAGAGAAGAGAGAGAGAAGAGAATGGGAAAAGCCAAAAGAATTAGGTTTGGTCGCCCCTTTCATTAGATTATATACTCATAAATAAAAGAGGGTACAAAGACAAGTATGCCCTTAGTAAGTCGGATACTTGTAAGAACTGAATAAACACTCTTAACTTAAAAATAAACTAATGGGCCTAAGGCCCAATAACTCCCTAACTATGTTATGTAAATATAAACAAGTAATATCAGCCCAAAACTCAAGACTCCCCCTCAGGTTGGGAATAAATGTCATACATTCTCAACTTGCATAGATCATGCTCGAGCTTATTTCTTGCAACACCTTTTGTAAGAACATCAGCAAGCTGCAAGTCAGATGCAACATATGGTAAGCAAACTTCTTCAGATGTTACCCTTTCCCTTATAAAGTGTACATCCACTTTTATATGTTTCATCCTATCATGCTGAAATGGTTTGTGGGCAATGTTAATTGCTGCTTGATTGTCACATTATAGCATCAAAGATTCTTCAACTTTCACCCCAATCTCTCCTAACAAGGAATGAATCCAAAGGAGCTCTAAAACACCATATGCCATGGTTCTATATTCAGAAAACCCCTGATGTAAATCTCTTGTCATCTAGACACCCTGCCCAATTAGCATCTATGTAAGCTTCTAACATCAACTACCCATGGTCAGCAAACAATATGCCTCTACCTGGGTGTCCCTTCAAATAGGAAAGTATCCTGTCAATAGCCTCCCAATGCTAAACTCGTGGGGCATGCATGTATTGGCTCACTGCACTCACTGCATAAGAGATGTTTGGTCGTGTCATACATAAATATAACAACTGCCCCACTAACCTCTGATACCTTCCAACATCCTTCACTAGTTCACCTTCTAAAGCATTTATCATGTGGTTCTGATCAATAGGTGTATCAGCTGCCCTTGCCCCAAGTTTTCTCATCTCCTATGTAGATCTAGAACATACTTCCTCTGTGAGATAAAGATCCCATGCTTGGACCTTGCCACCTCAATGACCAGAAAGTACTTACGATCCCCAAGATCCTTAATCTCAAACTCTTTGTGCAAATTCTTCTTCAAGGTATCAATTTCGCTCAGATAATTTCTTGTGACTACAATGTCATCCAAATACACTATCAAAACCAACACCAATGACCCCCTCCTTTTCACAAAAAGAGTGTGATCGGATTGAGTTTGAATAGCCAAATACCACCAATGCACTTCTAAAACTGTCAAGCCTAGCTTTGGGTGATTGCTTCAAACGATATAGAGACTTCTTCAACCTACATACCTTTCCTTTTTCCAAATCATTGTAGAAGCCTACTAGAAGATCCATATACACCTCCTCTTGCAAGTCCCCATTGATTCTTCACATCAAGTTGGAAGAGTGGCCAAGAGTATATAGCTACTAGTGATAGAAGAATCCGGATTCAGCTCATCTTTTCCACTGGTGCAAAAGTTTCCAAGTAATCTATGCCATAATTTGATTAGGAGTTTCCAGATTTGAATATGATTCAAATCTGGACTCTTATTGAGTGGATAGGGACTTTCCCTTATCCTTTAAGGCTGGTCCATATCTCAGATTCGCCCCATTCAAGCTAATCTAATTAGCCCAGTTCGTATTGGGCTTTTGGCCCATTAAGTGTGTGTGCTCACTTAAGCTTTCCAAATTGTTGCCTAGTTGGGCTTTCTCTGTATGGCATGGGACCCAAACGTTGATCTACACATCAGCCACAAGGGTTTGGCCCAGCCTCTGTCACAA